AATATTTTATTTGCAAGACTGACTCCTGGTTAGCAGCAGGCGGGACTGGGGACACAGACTTACCACCCGGCCACCGCTACAAGCGAGGTTACCCGATCCTGTTGTGACATCTTTTATTCTAGGTGCTCCTGTCCCTTTCACAGGTATGTTGACTTTCACTTTCAACTCTGTAGGAACATTTCCTGGTCTTGCTTTTAATGACATCTAAACCACTAACTTCTCTGTTTGTTTTTTAAAAAAGATTTTATGTATTTATTTGACAGTGAGAGAGGGAGAGCACAAGCAGGGGGAGCGGCAGGGAGAGGGAGAAGCAGGCTCCCCTCCAAGAAAGGAGCCCGATGTGTGGGGCTTGATCCCACAACCCTGGGACCATGACCTGAGCTGAAGACAGATGCTTAACTGACTGAGCCACCCAGGCGCCCCTTCTCTGTGTTTGTTGTTAGGCTTTAATTCACAGGACAATTATGGTACTTTTTTTTTTTTTTTGCATGTTCCCAGTTCTTGGAACTTAGGTTAATGTATTCATTTCCCAAGAGACGCTGAGAAGGAATTCCTACGTGTACACACTAGAAGGAACCACAAGAGGCACCAGGAACACTAGAAAATGGTGCATGAAAGCTAAGTTATGAGAGAGCTTCAGTAGGAAAACTAAGATAAACAAGGTAAAAATTAAATTACTGATTTGCTGGGGCGCCTGGGTGGCTCAGTTGGTTAAGCGACTGCCTTCGGCTCGGGTCATGATCCTGGAGTCCCGGGATCAAGTCCCACATTGGGCTCCCTGCTCGGCAGGGAGTCTGCTTCTCCCTCTGACCCTCTTCCCTCTCGTGCTCTCTCTCATTCTCTCTCTCTCAAATAAATAATAAAATAAAAAAAAATCTTTAAAAAAAAATTACTGATTTGCTAACTAAGTCATGAGACGTCTTAAAGGACGGTTTCAGTGGAGTAGTACCTTGTATTGCAGCCAGCTTTGGAGTCAGACCTGGCTTGGAATCCTGGCCCTTAGGTTTACCAGATATGTGATCCTGGACAGGTTATTTAATATTATCAGTGAGCCTCAGTTCCCTCCTCTATTAAAGGGAAATAATACCTACTGTCAGGTGTGTAATTTAAGGTTACCCATTGTTCCATGGATGCTGGCCGAAGACAAGAGACTCCAATGTCATAGACGAAAGACCTTATTCATGGAACAAACCACCTGAGCATCATGTATGTATCAGCTCTTTTGCCTCCTAAGCCCTGCAGAGGCAACATGGAAGGGGCCGATGGATTCTAGGCACACAGTGCATTGCACTATGGGGGAGGAACAATGAACTTGGGGAACCTGGTGCTTTGTGGTAAGTAGTAAGCAAGCTGCTCTTTGTCCCACATAGAGACACTACTTCTCCCTCATGGTTGCTTAACGCAAACACAACCCTAAGAAATGGCTGGGGAAGAGTAAACGAGGCGTCAGGGCCTTGTCTTTTTTTTTTTTTTCCTTTCTTTCTTTCTGTGCTCTAGGTTATAGCTTATTAAAGGAAAAGGATACAGATTAAAATCAGCAAAGGAAAAAGGGGCATGGGGCATGGGGCAAAGTCTAGGAGAAACCAGACATGCACGAACTTACAAACTTCCAGGTGTCCTTGTCCAGTGGAGTTGCACAGGGATGCACTTTATTCTCCCAACGACTTGTGACAGTATGTGTGAACTGTTGCCAACTGGAGAAACTCACCCAAAGCCTGGTGTCTGGGGTTTTTATTGGGGAGTCAGTTACACAGACATGGAGTACTCACATGACTGATCTCAGCTACTCAGACTGTCTCCCAGAGCAAAAACAGGCATTCATCATAAACCACATTGTTAGGATAAACTCATCTGGTCAGACTGGTACAGCATGGCTCGAGGCCTCCAGCATATGAAAACACCCTAATCAGGCAAAATATTACAAGGGCTCGGAATTTATCTCCCAGGAATGAGCCAAGTGCTAGTCCTGAAGATGAGCTTTCTTTGGAATGTGCAGGGTTTGAGCAACCTAGGCCTGCTGAGTTAACCCTTTTCTGTACATGCCTGATCTTCATGAGTCCACTGCCTGGTGAACTACAGTGATGTTTTGGATCTCCAAGAATTAGAATGTGTCTAGATCCAATGTCCAGTAATCCCTGACAACTCTAGTTACTTTCCCTTTTCCTGTATCCTGCCACCCTGGGAAATGGTACATTTGGAAAAGGCTAAAAGGAAGATATTCAGCACGTTTTTGCCAATATAACATAGTCCTTCATCAAGGGACTCAACCTTTCCTCACTCAAAAGGCTCTAGGTCTGGAATCGGCTCATCTGACAATTTGTTGAAGGCAAGGCCTTGCATTTTTGGCATACTCAGCAAGATATGGGGCAATGCGAGACACACATGGAAGCGTATCTCCAAACAACTACTTTGTGGGGTTCTCATACACATCACATTGGAATGCATATAAAGTGTTAAGACACAGTACCTGGCCCATCATAAATGCTGTTGCCAGTAGGCCAAAGAATACAGTGAATGTAGGATACTGTCTTAAGAAATTTAGCTGAGGGGCGCCTGGCGGGCTCAGTAGAGCATGCGACTCTTGATCTTGGGGCTGCAAGTTCGAGCCCCATGTGGGGTGTAGAGATTACTTTAAAATCTTAAAAAAAAGATTTTAGACTGGCATGTGTGTGTTCCAGATAGGAGAGGGACTCTGAAACCGTAAAACTAAGAGAGAAAGAATAACAGATGTAGCAAAGTCCCCAAGAGGGCAGTAGATGAAATCAAGCACAGCTATGTTGGTGAGCATCACACCTAAGTACTGGTAAACGTGGAGTCAGTGGGGAGTGGAATGTTGAGTTCCTACTTGAAACCTTGGGTTTTAGTGGAAGAGAAGGTATTCACTGGTTAAGGATGTAGGGAAGACTTAAGTCATACTGAAGGTGAAGGCTCACTGAGGTTGGAGATCAGGAAAGGGGTCGTGCTGGCTCCTCTCAGCAGCACTGCAATTTTCCCCTCTTCACAGCTCATGGGCAATAAATCCATATTGGGATGGTGGATTAGTTTATTCTTTGGGTTGCAAGTAACAGAAACAAACTACCTGAAACAGAAGGGGGAAGGAATTGGAGGGATACTGGGATCTCCCGCTGAAAACAGGGCCAGGATCACAGCTGGGCAGCAATGGATGCTGGGACTGAAGTGCCTTAGGGGACCTAGGAAGTTGTCGATCATCTTGGCCCTCCACTGACTGCACACACGCTGGAACTTGGCCTCCAAGTCTTAGGAGTTACAATCCAGGCCCAAAGAAAGTTACAAAATTCCTAGATAGAGTTGGATCAGCCTGGGGATAAAAGTAGAATAGCCAGCTCTAATGCAGAGCTAGGCAGACATTCGAATAGCTCTGTTAGAAGGCAGGTCTCCATCAGAACTAAAAATTTTTACCCAGTCAAGAACCTAGACTTATGTTTTATAAACAGTGACTGAACAAGGAACATCATTTATCGACATTTTAATGAGACCCAATCTGGTATGACCCCGGTGTTGGGGCAGCTCATCCATTCATCCAAGGAGAAACAGACCAACAGTTACAATGCAACTTGCTAAATGCCACAGAGGTAATTACAAACACTGTGTTCCCCAGCTGTTCTCCCACTTTTGGGCTGAGATTGGGAGAGCTGAAGAAACAAGCAACAGGGGTAGGAACATGACCCACTCCAGCTGTTAAATAGGAGAGAAGTCATGTCTGAAAATTCCAATTTGGTGCAGCTACCCAAGGCAAAGTGGTAGGCCTTGTTCATTGAATGCAGTAAAGCTTTACTGAGCATCTACTCGGGGGTGGGTGCCAGGGAGGCATGTCAAAGATTAAGACACATTGCCGCCACTGCTCTGGGAGCTTCTGTAAGGAAGGCAGGTATGAACACAACTTGATGACTGTAGACTCCTTCCTGCCCTGTATTCAATTACTTAACTTTCTACCCTCCTTGAATGGCCTCATCTCACTTTATGAAAAATGTTGACTGAGGACTCATGGAAGGTTCTGTGCTGATGTCTCCTTATTCGGTTGAGAATCAGGGAGGAGTGAGGCCCAGTTCTCAAGGATTTCCTAGCCACTGGCTGCCTGGAACTAATCCAAATCCACTGGATGAAGTACAGACTAGTGCCAGTTTTACCCTTGCTGCTAGACCACAGCTCCCCTCCTCCGTAAAATCAGTCTTTTCCCAAAGCTCACTTTGCCTATGTCCCAGACCCAACTTGAATCAATTTTCCAAACACAGGGGGCAGAAGACTTAACTTCACAGTATGTGGTTTTAAAAAAAAAAAAGGCTTAGGTATGTTATGTGTCTGCCACCCAATGAAGCCCTGCTACAGGGTCACCACCCCCAAATTCAGTGCAATCTAGAGCTGTTAAAACAAGTAGAGACCAAGGTGTACCGTGCACACTGTGGTGCTGGCTTATTTTTGCATGACCCTTTAAAAGGAACATTGGAGAGAAAGCACGTGTGGGGACTGAAACCCTGTCTTTAAGGAATGATTGACCAAATAATGCTGTTTAACCTGAAAACACGGGCAAAGCAGCTGTGGTTAAGTTATCTGAAATGCTGTCATGTAGATGAAGTATTACATACTCTGGGCAAGACTTCTAGGGAAGGAGAAGGTGGTACTTAACCGCCTTCTAAAAATCAGAGCTATCCCACAGTGAAATGACCTGCCTTGTGAGGTAGTGAGCTCCCTGTCAAGGGAGGTTTTAAAGCAAGGGTAAAAAAACCACTTGGCAGGAGTGTTGAAAAAAAGGGGGCTAAACCAGGTTTGTTTAACGCTGGTATGGAGGAAGGGGCAGAGTAGGGCAAGATACTGCCCCCCACAAATGGGATTCTCCGGACTGTATACAAGGGGACAGGTGATCCCTGTATGCACAAACTAGAAAAGCAAACAGCCCCTAAGATAGATGGGAGAACTTTTAGCCCTGATATCCACACACACAAATTCTTTCAGGATAGGGTAGCCTGGAAAAGAGCCACGCGATGTCCCCTGTCCTGACGGGACTGTCCGTTCTAGACACAAGCGATATGGCAGCCAGTGTGGTGAAACAGACTAAAGTTCAGGTCTCCGTAGCAGGAGACCTGGGTTTTCCTGCGGACTCTGCCTTGTACGACCCGGGGCTTCTCCTTCCCTGGACCCCTCCACGAAATGAAGTGAGAATCTACCGTCCTTCCCGTACTAAAGGGCACTGCCCTTCTGGCCGGCGCCCCCTATAGCGGCCCTGGGGCTACACTTGTGGACGGCCAGAGACCACCTCTGGCGGAAGCAACGGCCACACTCCAGGCAGGGGAAGGGCTTCTCCCCGGTGTGCAGGAGCTGGTGCTGCGCCAGGTGGCTCCACTGGGCGAAGCGTTTGGAGCACAGGTCGCACGCGTAGGGCCGCTCGCCTGAGTGCACGCGCCGGTGACTGGCCAGGAGCGAGGGGTAGGCGAAGCGGCGGCCACAGTCGTCGCAGGCGTGCAGCTTCTCCTCGGTGTGCGTGCTGCGGTGGATGGCCAGCGAGCCGCTCCGCCGGAAGGCACGGCCGCAGTCCGGGCACGGGTAGGGCTTCTCCCCCGTGTGCAAGAGCTGGTGCTGGAGCAGCGTGCTGCGCTGGGAGAAGCGGGCCTCGCAGTGCTCGCAGGCGTAGGGGCGCTCCCCGGAGTGCACCCGCCGGTGGCTGACCAGGCGAGAGGACGAGGAGAAGCGCCGCTCGCAGTCTGGACACGGGTAGGGCTTCTCGCCCGTGTGGATGCGCTGGTGGATGACCAGGGCGGTGCGCTGTCGGAAGCGGCGGTTGCATTCCAGGCAGGTGTAGGGCTTCTCGCCCGTGTGCGTGCGCTGGTGGATGGCTAGCAGGGAGGGGTAGGCAAAGCGCCTCCCGCAGCTGGGGCACTGGTGGGGTTTTTCGCCGGTGTGCGTGGTCCGGTGATTGGCCAGGGACCGGCTCCTCCGGAAGCAGCGGCCACAGTCAGGGCAGTGGTAGGGCTTCTCGCCTGTGTGGATGACCTGGTGCTGCGAGAGGTTCTTGCGCTGGGAGAAACGTTTGCCGCACTGGTCACAGACATAGGGACACTCGCCAGAGTGTGCCCGCCGGTGACTGACCAGCAGGGAGGGGTAGGAAAAGCGGCGGCCACAGTCTGGGCAAGGGTAAGGCTTTTTCAGATTCTGGGCACACTTGTGGCTCTCCAGGGCCAGCCGATCAGGGAAGGTGCAACCACAGTCAGGGCAGATGGGGCCCCCAGAAGTCTGCCTGGGGATCAGGCGGGGTTTGCTGGGCCGCCGGCCTCGCTTGCCCTTTCGGGGCGCCTCCTTAGGTGGGAACACTTCCTTCTCTCCGTCCTTCTTTCTGGTTCTGGTTTCTACAGAAACACAGGGAGATATTAACAAATACTGGGCCCCTCCCCTTGCCTATGACAGTGTCACAGATTAGAAGACAGACAGGCTCAGCCCGTCTTCAGGGAGTGTTAGTGCCACAGACATCCCACTGTGACACACCACTACAGAAATGTGGAGGATATTCCAGGAGTCCCAAGCTCAATCTGGAGAAGTCGGGAAGTGTTTCTTGCAGGTTATGCAGGCTTGAGAAATTAGAGAAGTTTTTGAAGAGGTAAGTTTAAGGCAGGAAGTGGAAATACCAGATATAAGCTGGCAGAGACTAGATCATAAGGCTCTCTAAGCCAGTGGTTCTCAAATTTTATTGTGATCAGAATCATTTGGATGGCTCATTGAAACAGTTTTGGATTCAGCAGGTCTGGGATGGGGCCCAAGAATTTGTATCTGATTCTTTCCTGAGTGATGCTGCTGCTGGTGTGAGGACCACACTCTCAGAACCACTGCTGTTCAGGACCATGGACTCTATTTTATCCAATGGTTCTCAAACCTAAGCATGCATGCCAATCAACTGGGGCTGTTAAAAAAGAAATACAAGGTCCTAGACATCCATCAGAGTAAATCAATAGTTCTAGGTCCAGGAATCTGTATTATTTTTAAAAGATTTTATTCATTTATTTGACTGGGGTGGGGTGGGGGGGAGCGCACAAGCAGAGGGAGCTGCAGGCAGAGGGAGAGGGAGAAGCAGGCTCCTATGGAGCAGAAAGCCTGATGCGGGGCTCGATCCCAGGACCCTGGGATCATGACCTGAGCCGAAGGAAGATGCTTAACTGACTGAGCCACCCAGGCGCCCCTAGGAATCTGTATTTTTTTTTTTTTTTACACCAAGTTCCCCAAGTGACTTAGAGATAACTGACAGCCATTTGACAACCTCCATGGCAAAAACTGAAAGGTTTTTAGCAAGGAAGTATCATGGTCAGATCTGAATCTTGGAAAGATAGCCCTGGTGTCAGAGAATCTAGCACAGAAACGGCAGCCCAGATGGTTACATCCACCCCTGTGGGTGGATCTGGGGCCGTTCTACCTGAATGGCATTAATCAGAGCCTTACTTGACCCTGAGGAGAGCGCAGATTCCTTCACTGATTAGGGGTCACCCCTCCAAAAGGGCAGAAAGAGAGCCCTGCACCCCAGGCAGCTGTTCCCCATGAGATCCCTTCAACCAAAATCCAGAAACTCAGAGAGGTACCAGGTGTCTAAGTCAGAGCACAGTTCAGAGAAGACTGAGGACAGGGATCCTGGGAGGGAGGCCAAGAGAGTAGCTCCTTTCAAAAGCTCACAGATTCATTCACACAATAGAGAACTGCGGACCCTTAGTATGCAAACTGATATGTAAATCACTGTATGGTGGACGCACCCAACACCATCAGGGAGACACGACCCTGAAGCTGTGAAAACAATCACAGTAAATAAAGCATTACAGCATGGGCCAGAGGTACCCCTAGCCACCAACACTCTAGACGGAGTCGTTGGAGGCTGCAGGCCCTGCACAGGCATTTTTCACTCACTTCTTTGGACTGTTAACCCCCTTGGGCACTCCTGCGGATCCAGGGCGGCCGGTTCCCAATCATCGGTATTTCGTTCCAACCAGGAGATGAGGGCTGGTTTGGGACCTGCGCACCCTGGGGAAGGAGAACCAGTCAGACGTCCAGCTCCTAGATAAGGCTGGGTAAAAGATCTACCCGGTGTCACCTCCTGCCAAGCCCCTGTCCTCCTCCCCTGACACAACCTGGTCACGGGCCAGGTCCCTGGACACTCCGGACTTCCTGCCGTCGCCCCCACCCAACCCCCCGCCCTAAGCTCCTCCAACGCTTCGGGCCCCGCGGAAGCGAACTGGGCCGGGCCTCACCGAGCGCGCCCAGGTGGCCGTAGGTCTCCCGCATCACGTCCCGGTACAGGGCCCTCTGCGCGGGCCGCAGACAGCCCCACTCCTCCGGGGAGAAGTACACGGCCACGTCCGCGAACTTCACCGCCCTCGGCCTCCTTCCCCTTCTCCGGCCGGGTCCGGCCTCTCCTGATCCCCGCGCGGAGAGCGGAGCCGAAGGTGGCGCCATTGGACCCCAGGAGCCGGCGCCACGGCCTTCCCCGTCCCGGCCTGGACCCCCGGCGGACCCCGGGATTTGGGAACCCCCGCCGGCCCGGAGCTGAGCGTGCCTGGGGAGGCCCTGAGGGAATCGGAATCAGCCGCCTTGCGGGGCTAACGGAAACCTTTTGCTGTTATTCAGGAAACTCCTGCCCGAACTTCGGTGAAAGGCACCGGAAGATGCCTTCGGGGAAGATGGCGGCGCCGCTACCGCACCGCCTTAGCCTGGAACACAGGCAGCTTCCAGCTATCGATTTTATTGACCGGAGCGCCATGCCGGCTTCCTAACCTCTTTGCCCTCAAGTGTGATGGCGCTGCGATTGGGCTTCACGCCCTTTTTTCCCCCCATTACACGCGCTCATTGGGCGGCGGCCGAAGATCGGGCGTTCTGATTGGGTGCTGGCGAAAGCGGCCTGTTTGAACGAAGCCGACGGAAGCGTAAGGTCAGGAAGCCGACCTTCCGCGCCGGGCGCCTGCGGCCAGATCCGCGGCGGGCGGCGGCGGCGAGCTGGCCTGGCGTCAGTGACGGGCTTCTGCTCTCTGGCAGGCGCTGCGTCGCTGACGGAGGGAAGGATTTGAGTGACGGAGCCGCTCCGGCCAACCCGGGGCTGAGATTACCCCGGGTGGCTTTCTCAGAATTGGGACAACTTCCTTGGTGCCCTTTTGGGAGGGAAATTAACGTTGGCGTTTCCTGCGCGCCGGCACTGTTCCCCTCTTAACACATCTTTTTTTTCTTTTTTTAAAGATTTTATTTATTTATTTGAGAGAGAGAATGAGAGAGAGCATGAGAGGGAAGAGGGTCAGAGGGAGAAGCAGACTCCCCGCTGAGCGGGGAGCCCGATGCGGGACTCGATCCCGGGACTCCGTGATCATGACCTGAGCCGAAGGCAGTCGCTTAACCGACTGAGCCACCCAGGCGCCCCACATCCTTTTTTTTCTTTGCTACCATTGTATGGAGTGATGGCCATCATCCGGTTCTACTGATAAGGAAACTCTCAGAGGGATACTGCTAGTATGGAGAAGGAACAAAGATTTAAACCCGGGGCTGACCGGGCTTTTATTCAAACTGCTGAACTCGGCTCCCTTCCCCCACACTCTCCGAATTCGCTTGTCACAGTCTGAGCTCCTGGCCTCTTCTCAGGTTCAATCTTACACACATCTCGCCATACTTTATTTTTACGTGACATCTGTCCAATGTACTAAGCGTAGCGCTTGGCAGTTTGGAAATAAGTCATGCACCATGCTCTGAATGGAGCTCATAGCTGAGTGAGGCATACGCATTTACAACTGATAACAGTGCTGCAAGCATGTATGTGAAAGGTATAGGAAAATTGCTGTTGGAACCAGTCAGCCCCCACTCCATCGGCTCCCACTCCTGTGTAAGTGTGCAGGGTTTCACCAGCTCAGGGTCATCTCCCAGGGGATCTGAGGGTCGGAAATATGCCATTTGCTACATACTAAAGCTGGTTACATACGTATCTCTCCAACCCATTAATCAAAAATTTTAAAGCACCTGCTATGGGCAAAACGCTACCCCAAAGCCTGCAAGGAGTAAAGACAACATGTCAGGAATTCACAAGATAACCTAGGTAGCAAGAGATTCCAAGGACGATGACTTTGAACAGAGGAAGTAGGAAACACACACACAACTGCAGTAAACATTGAGTTCTACTCTGTCCCAAGCACGGTGACGGTTTATTGAACAAACTACTGGGGGAGCAGGTGGAATGTCAAGATTGCCAAAATAAGACAGAGTCCCTCTGAATGACTTTCCAGATTGATGCATCAGGTGGGAAGTGAGTTTGGTTTATGAATGGGTAGGATTTAGGGAGGGCAGTGGTACTCAATGTACATCTGTTGAATAAAGAGCTGAATTCCATGGCCATAAAGATCTCTGGTACAAAGCCAGGAATTCAGGAAAGTTCTGAGTGTGGAAGGAACGAGGACACTTTCTGATGCAGTACAAAATACTGTTAGGTTAAAACTGAAGGATCGAAAGGATAGGTTGGCACCAGATATTGGACGGCTTCATCCTGCACATTGGGGAGCTCCAAATCAGTCTAGAGGAGTGAATTACCTTCCAACGTTTTCGCAAAATTACTCTGGTAGTCTGTTTGCAGGGCAAACTGATAGCTTTGTGTCTATGCTTTCTGCCTATACATAGTTCAGTTTGGAGAAATAAGAACTTAGGCTGCTAAGGGAATACAAAGGCCAATGGACAGCAAACCATTTCATTTGGAAGAAAGTGACTAAACAGAAGGCTGGAAAGGAATCTGTGGACATTTTGCCTAAATGGTAATGATGTACTGTCAATGATGCTGACATTGCACAGGAAGGATGATTAACTACTGAGGTGAAAAGGTGCTGAGCCCTCTTCCCATAAGCAGGAAATGGGAGGGCAGGCTGGGCTGAGGTGCAGCCTAGCCCTTTGGCCCTGGGCTGGGAAGGCCCCATTTGGCCTGGCTTGCCACCATCCTGGTGGGAGCTACTAAGGCAGGACCAAGGAATCAGGCAGAGTCGGAGGCTTTTAACTGCAGGGAGATATTTTGGAGAGAGAAGCACCCAGGACTTAATGTGAGAGCAGAGGTTTTTGCTCCTTTTCTGTATAAATTCCTGGATCCACATTGGGCACAGGGACAAGCAGGGCTCCTCTTGAAGACTGCCCACTGTAGAGAAGGATGGAGAAGATCTAGGGAGTCTACACACCAAGAGGCCACATAAAGACTAAAGACACCTTGTTTTGGATAAAAGGAAATGGTGTTGAGGGCCAACTAAGTACAGGTGCCACCTTGTAGGCACATCGATATAGATGATCTCAATTGAAACTCACCTTCCAGGGGCACCTGGCTGGCTCAGTCAGAGGAGTGTGTGACTCTTGATCTCGGGGTCGTGAGTTCGAGCCCCATGTTGGGTGTAGAGATTACTTAAATAAATAAAAACTTAAAGAAAAAAAGAAAAAAGAAACTCACCTTTCAAAGTCCTTATGAGGACAGTTATCAGACAGTTGCGCAGCTTGCCCAAAACCTGTTAGTAAAGGCAGGGGTGAGATTTGAACCTAGAATGTCCTCTGCATTCCACTGGCAGCTCTAAGCTGGGTGCAAGGCTTTGAGATTAATTTCTTCTTGTTTCATACTCAGTGAGAGGGAAGTAACTGGCAGTGCAACCTTTGATTACAGCACACATGGACTTCACCTTATAGACTAACTGGAACCCAACCTTTGCCTCAAATGTCATTGCACCATGAACCCAGACTCCAGCAAGCAGTGTTAGTCCTGGGAGAAAGTCATGCCATGAATAATGAAGGAATCTCAACTTTTTTTTTTAAGATTTTATTTATTTATGAGAGAGAGAGAGAGAAAGCACACAGAGAGAGGGAGAAGCAGACTCCCCGCTGAGCAGAGAGCACGACGTGCGGCTTGATCCCAAGGACCCTGAGATCATGACCTGAGCCGACATCAAGAGTCAGACACTTAACTGAGTGAGCCGCCCAGGCGCCCCTTGGCTTCTCCATGTTTGCCCAATGGATCCCCTGGTGGGCTTTCAGGGCAAACTTTCTCTGGGAGCTTTCCCCACGCTCAGTGCCATCAGAGTGGATGTGCCTGTGGCTGAGCAGGAGGGAGGAGCAGGAGAAGCAGATGCCACATTCTGGGCAGGGGTACTTTCCTGGGTGTGTGTGTGTGCACCTGTGAATGGCCAAGGGTGCCTGTGGCAGAAGCCCCACGAACAGCCCCAGCACCGCTAGGGCCTCTTTCATGTGTGGATAAGCTGGTGCTGGAGCTTTTCAGAAAGAGTACCATCCCTTCTCACCGCAGGCCTCCAGAACTGTAGCGCGTTCTCATAAAGAAGGGTTGAATTTTTCTCAGAGGGAAGCTGGCACCTCTCCCTGGTTAAAGGCCTTACATATGGACATTTCAGTGGAAACATTTCTCAAAAAAAAAAAAACAAACAAACAAAAAAACAAAACCCACACCTCAGTGCCTTTGGAGCACACAAAAACACCTGTTTTCATCCTAAATGAAAGGTGGCAGTCATTAAATTCTACAGAGGGCTCTAGGCAGCTTCCCGTGGCAGGACATGCCCTGAGAAACAGGGGGAGGCCAGCGAACCAAGTGCACTTCTGGCCTCTTTCCAAGGCCCGTCAGAAATGCACCATGCCTACTCTCTAGGCTTAAGTTAATTAGAATGAAAAACTCACTTCCTTGGGCACACTAGCCACATTTCAAGTGCTAAATGGCCACATGTGGCTAGTGCCTTCTGTGTTCAGCAGCACAGATAGAACATTCCCATAACTGAGGAAAGTTCTACTGGAAGCAATAATCTAAGTACTTAGAGGAAAGAAGGCAAAAGACCTCAAACCCCAACTGCTGCCTTGCCCCAACCCCTAGTTAGGGCCAGAGGGACCCGCTACCGTTGAACACAAGGAAGCCTCCAGGTCTGGGAAAGAGAATTTTAGAAGAGAAGATTCATCGGATTCTTAGGAATTGGGGTCCTTAAAAAGAAGGGTGCGGGGTAGGTGTGACTGCGGGAAGAAAGGGCCTGCCCTGGCTCGCTCCCAAGAGAGGCTGCAGAACGGCTCAACCCCACTTTCCTCAACTAGCGCAGATACCGGGTGCCTCGCCCCCTCCTCCGGACGTTTGGTCTCCGGGCTCCACGCCTCCTTCTTCCATTTTCAGGAGACGAAGGCGGCTTTGGGGCCTGCGAATCCTAAGGAGAAGAGGCCAACAACAGGCGGGGGGCGAGGATGGAGCCTAGACAAGGCGCTTCCTCTGCAGGGGTGGGTACAGCCTCCTGAACCCGAGCGGCGAAGACCCTCCCCAACAACACAGGCGCATCCGGAACGATGCGCGCTGGGACCCTTCGATCATGCCCAGGTGGTCCGCGGTCAGGCGCATCACGTCCCTGCGGAGCGCCCAGTGCGTGGCACCAGGTCCACAAACCCTTCGCCCTCAAGGATAATGGCACCGCTGGGCTTCACGCCCTTCTCCCTCCCGTGCACGGCCATTGGGTGGCGCGGGGCCGGAAGCCAGGAGCCGCGTTCTGATTGGGTCTCGGGGAACCACTCCGTTACGCGGCAGCCGGCGGCCGCGTGCGAGCCGGCCTTCCTCCTGGAGCCCCAGCGAACCCCGGGCGCTCACCCGCCGAGCACCTGCTCGGTGCCCCGCTTGGTGTCGGGCAGCGCGTGCGAAGGGACGGGGCGGCGCAGCCCGGCTGCCCGAGGGCCCACAGCACCGCTCCTCCTCCCGGGCCCGCTCGGCCCCCGTCTCTCCAGAGCCCCGTCTGCGTCGCTGCGGGGGCTCCCTGCCGCCTTCGCACTCAGACTTGAACGACGCTCCCCCTTGCATTGAGCGCGAACTTGTGTTGAGGACAGCTCTGGGAGCCGGGTCAAGAGCCGGGACCTAAACAAAGTCGGCTCGGCCCCGGAGGTTACATGGCGCGCCACAGCCTTCCAGATTCTCAGGTCTCCGCTGGGTTGGACCCAAGGTTTAATCCCTGAGCGCCCGCAGCTCTGCGTGTCTGGTGACGATTAAACGTGGCATCTCCAGACATAATGCTGGGGACTGGAATGAGGTGGCTCTAAGGGTGCCCGCTCTCAGCGGTGCTTACAACCTGGTGAGATAAAGACCTAATACATAAGCAAAGGTCTGGGTGCCTAAGCCATAGTGACACACTGCAGGGAATTATGAGACAGTCTCTCATCTCTGAATAGAGCACAGGAAAAGATAAGCACTGTGAATCACTTAAGGAAAAAATAAGGCAATAATAGTTTCTAACTTGCTAAGACATGTAAAAGAGGTAGAAAATTTACATTAAAAGCCATTGTTTTCAGCAAGGGTGATTAGGTAAGGCTGTCCTCAATATTCAAGAAACTAGTGTGACGTGCAAAGCTTGGAAGGATATACACAAGTGAGAAATACTGTACTAGACAGTTTTGACTGAATATATATTATTTAATCCTCACAACCACCTCGGGAGCAGTATTAATGTACTCATTTTATAGTCAGAGAGATGTTGATGATGCAAGGGATGAGCCAAGATTGAACATGGGATAAACCGGTTCAAAGCCTATGATCCTCCTCTTACATTATGGCTCCTGGTCCAAGGAGGTTTGTTCTCCTGAGATCTAGAGTCAGGGGAAACCGGAGCTGAAAGGTCAGAGGTCAGCAGTCTGGGCTGGGAGCGGAATGAGGAGTCTCATACTTTTCCTGACAGGTTCTTCACTCCGGATGTCCTGCCTCTCAGCTCCCAGGTCTCGCATAGATTCCAGATGTGGCTCAGCCCCCAGCATCTCCATTTCGCCTGATTCCCTTTTTCTCCCCTCTCCTATCCCTTGCCCTCTGTGCACCTCCTTCCCAACGCTTGATGAGGGAGAACCTTAAAACATTTGTTCCTTCACACTGCTTTACTCAGACACTCGCACTACTGGAACATATCGGGAAAATGTCGGAAGTGTACGGACGGTTCCTGACCCTCAGGGACACAAGCCTGGGCTGGGGGTGGTAACAGAGGCCTGTCACCCCTCTGACTTGTCCCGCCTGTACGATGGATCCATTGGTGGGCTTCCAGGGCACTCTTTCGTTTAAAGGTTTTCCCACACTGGGAACAAGGGAAGGGCCTCTCAACAGAATGGATGCGTCTGTGGCTGTTGAGGACACAGGAAGAGGTAAATTGGTGCCCACACTCGGAGCAGGAGTAGGGCTTCTCCCCTGTATGTGTGCGTCTGTGGATAGCCAGGGAGCCGCTTTGCCGGAAGCAGCGGCCACAGTCGGGGCACGCATAGGGCTTTTCCCCTGTGTGAATGAGCTGATGCTGGAGCAGGTTATTTTGCTGGGCAAAGCGGGCACTGCAGTGGGTACAAGGGTAGGGGCGCTCACCAGAGTGGACCCGTTGGTGACTGGTCAGGAGGGAGGGGTAGGCAAAGCTCCGACCACAGTCAGAACAGATATGGGGCTTCTTCCTAGTGTGGGTGCGCTGGTGGATAGCCAAGAGAGAAGGGTGTGTAAAGTGGCGTCCACACTTGGTGCACACGTATGGCTTCTCCCCACCATGTCTGTGTCTATGGATGGCCAGCGCCCCAGTCTGGCGGAAGCAGCGGCCGCAGTCTGGACATGAATAGGGCTTGTCCCCTGTATGAAGCAGCTGGTGCTGGACGAGGTGAGCCCTCTGGGAGAACTGAACCCCACAAGGTCCACAGACATATGGACGGTCTCCAGAATGGATTCGCCGATGCCTGACCAGCATGGAGGGGTAGGCAAAGAGCCTCCCACAGTCTGGGCAGGAGAAGGGCTTCTCCCCTGTATGTATGCGCATGTGGACAGCCAGGTTGCCTCTTTGGCGGAAGCAACGTCCACACTGGCCACAGGGAAAGGGCCGCTCCCCCGAGTGGACCCGCTGGTGGCTGGCTAGGAGGGAGGGGTAGCTGAAAGAGCGGTTGCATTCCAGGCAGGGGTAGGGCCTCTTGGGAGTCTGGGTGCACTGCTGCTCCGTGTGTGCAGACAGCTGAGGCAATGGATGGCTAAAGTCCCTGAAACTAGGAACCAGCCTGGCCTGCACCGCTGGCGCGTTCCTCACAGGGGCTTCCTCAAGCTCCTCGGCCCCAATTTTGCTGCTGGGTTCGTTCTTTTTCTTGCTTTCTAAAGAGACAAGAGAATTGAAACAAAATTGTTGAGTGCTTGTACGACCATGCCTGTGTTTTCCCTCACAGTGGGGGGATGGAGATGAAGGGGGTGTTTCTCTGTTCTAGACCCTGTTACAGAGCCCCCCAGTCTCATCTCAGGCAGCAGCTCCCCACTCCATGGCTGCCAGGCCCTTTAGTCCCCCCTCATGTAGGGCTTGGAAAATTGCAGTTTGTCACAAGGTGAGGGATCGTACTACCTGTTGGAAACAAGCAATCACCTGCTGTGTTAAAGGCCCTAAATGCGGGCATTTCAGCAGGGACGGCGATTTCTCCAGGCACCGGAATGGACTGCAGGTCAGTGTATATAAAACCGGCAGTCACCAACTGCGCCAAAATTACCGGCGTCGCGAACTGAACGTCTGGCCCCTTTCTGAGGCATGCAGACTCTCTGGGAACATGAGAGAGCAAGGCTCACTAAATTTCTAACCCCAACCTCGCTGTCCTTGACCCAAGGTCTGGGAAAGGGAACTTTGGAAGAGAAGGCTCAGAGGATTCCCACCAACTGGGCTCTGTAAGAGAGGCTGTGTGTGGGAAGGAGGCTGCGGGAAGAAACGGCCTGCCCTGGCTCGCTCCCACGAGAGCTGCAGTCCGGCTCAGCCCCACCTTCCTCACCTAGACCAGATCCTGGGTGCCTCGCCCCCTCCTCGGGATCCTCGGCCTCCGGGCTCCACACCTCCTTCTTTCTCTCCAGCCAGGAGATGAGGGCCGGTTTGGGGCCTGCGAATCCTAAGGGAGGAGAGGCCGACAGCGGACAGGGTAAGAGGATGGAGCCTAGATAAGGCGTTTCCTCCGCAGGGGTGAGTACAGCCTTCTGAACCCGAGCGGAGAAGACCCTCCCCAACAACAGACACTTAGGCGCGTCCGGACCCGAAGTCTAAAAAATCTCCGTGTCACAAAAAGGGAGAGAAGGGGCGGGCCGGGGCTCACCGAGCGCGCCCAGGTGGCCGTAGGTCTCCCGCATCACGTCCCGGTACAGGGCCCTCTGCGCGGGCCGCAGACAGCCCCACTCCTCGGGGGAGAAGTACACGGCCACGTCCGCGAAGCTCACGGCGATCGGCCTCCCTCGTCCCGACTGGGTGTTTTCCTGCCCGCCGGCGAGGCGCGGGGCCCGGGGCGGCGCCATGGGTCCAGAGCTTACCTCCCCCACCCCGGTTCGCCGGCGGGTCCGGGGTTCTAGACGCTGCGGGTCCGAACCCGGCCGGTGCTCGGGCTCAGAGGGCCTCCCAGGAGGCCCGAAGGGCACCGGGACCAGCCTCTCGTGGGGCCAGTGCAAACCCCTCCGGAGTTATTCTTACGGGTCCTGCAAGGACCTGGGTTAGAGCACTGCAGGATGCCTGCTGCCACGGTGTAAGCACCGGAGACGCTCGGCCGCACCGGGGCTGGAAACCCTTCGCCCTCAAGGATAATGGCACCGCTGGCCTTCACGCCCTTCTCCCTCCCGTGCACGGCCATTGGGTGGCGCGGGGCCGGAAGCCAGGAGCCGCGTTCTGATTGGGTCTCGGCGAACCACTCCGTTACGCGGAAGCCGGCGGCCGCGTGCGAGCCGGCCTTCCTCCTGGAGCCCCAGCGAACCCCGGGCGCTCACCCGCCGAGCACCTGCTCGGTGCCCCGCTTGGTGTCGGGCAGCGCGTGCGAAGGGACGGGGCGGCGCAGCCCGGCTGCCCGAGGGCCCACAGCACCGCTCCTCCTCCCGGGCCCGCTCGGCCCCCGTCTCTCCAGAGCCCCGTCTGCGTCGCTGCGGGGGCTCCCTGCCGCCTTCGCACTCAGACTTGAACGACGCTCCCCCTTGCATTGAGCGCGAACTTGTGTTGAGGACAGCTCTGGGAGCCGGGTCAAGAGCCGGGACCTAAACAAAGTCGGCTCGGCCCCGGAGGTTACATGGCGCGCCACAGCCTTCCAGATTCTCAGGTCTCCGCTGGGGTGGACCCAAGGTTTAATCGCTGAGCGCCTGCAGCTCGGCGTGTCTGGTGACGATTAAACGTGGCATCTCCAGACATAATGCTGGGGACTGGAATGAGGTGGCTCTAAGGGTGCCCGCTGTCAGCGGTGCTTACAACCCCTTAAGGTGGACACACAAATATACAAAGGTCTGGGTGCCTCAAGGGCTGGAAAAGCCCCGGATTGGAGCCAGCAGTTCCAAGGTAATAAAGACATCATAATGCAGTGAAGACTTCACTCCTAGCTTAGTATGACTTCTAGAAGCATCTGAAGGCAGGCCAATCGGCCTCTTGAATATTTCACTTCAGGTGACACCCTTTCCCCAACATATTGGTAAACCTGTGAAGATTCACACGGGATCTACCATTGAGAAAGCCACAGTGGTAGCACCGACTCACTCCGAGGAATTATCAGACAGTCTCTCAGAAGAGTTGAGAAAGACAGAAAAAGACAAGCATTGCGAATCAATTAGGAAGAAGAAAGAAAGAGAAAAGGCAAAGAGCTCCTCACTGACTGAAACCTGGAGAAAGAGCTAGAGAAATTACATTAAAAGCAGTTGTTTAGGGGTGTCTGGGGGGGCTCCGTCAGTTAAGCGTCTGACGCTTGGTTTTGGCTCAGGTCATGATCCCAGGGTGGTGGGACTGAGCCCCGTGTGGGGCTCCCTGCTTAGTGGGGAGTCTGCTTCTCCCCCTCTGCCCCTCCCCATGCTTGAGCACATCCTCCCGCATTCTCCCTCTAAAATAAATAAATCTTTTTTTTTAAGCAGTTGTTTAAAACGGATGATTACATAAAGCTGTTCAATATTCAAAAAAGCTGTGCTGTTCTCCAAACCATTAGGAGGCCTACTACAAACAAAATAAAACAAACAAAAACAAAACAAAACAAAAAGAATAAAAGAAAAGAAGAAGTGCTGGCCCGGATGTGGAGTAACTAGGATCCTGTGCACTGTGGGTGGAGATGTAAATGGTGCCGCTACTATGAAAACTGTATGATGGGTTCTAAAAAAATAAAAAATTACTTTATGACCCAGCAATTCCACTTCGGGTATGTGCCCCATGAATTCAAAGTATGGCCTTGAAGAGCTATTTGTCTACACCTTTATAGCAGCAAATTCACAACAGTCAAGAGATGGAAGGAACCCAAAAGTCTGTGGACCGATGAATGGGGAAACAAAATGTGGTAAATAACATGCTATGGAATACCATCCAGCTGAAAAAGGAAGGAAATTCTGACACATGCTACAACTTGGACTGAACTTGAGGACATTAAGGGTGCCTTGGTGGCCCAGTCGTTAAACGTCTGCCTTCGGCTCAGGTCATGAACCTGGGGTCCTGGGATCAAGCCCCACATTGGCCTCCCTGCTCGACGGGAAGCCTGCTTCTCCCTCTCCCACTCCCCCTGCTTGTGTTCCCTCTCTCGCTGTGTCTCTGTCAAATAAATAAAATCTTAAAAAAAAAACAAAACCTTGATGACATTATACAAAGTGAAATAAGCCATACTGTATGATTTCACTTATATGAGGTGTCTTCTATAGTATCAAATTCATAGAAGCAGGAGGTTGGGTGATTGTGATAGTGGTTGGGTGATTGGCACAGGCTGAGGTGAGGGGGGAAGGGGGGTTATTTAATGAGTATAGAGTTTCAGTTTTGCAAGAGGAGAAAGGTCTGGAGATTGGTTGCCCAACAATGCAAGTGTACACTTAAAAAATGGTTAAGATGGTAAATTTTATGTTGTGTGTATTTTACCACAAATAAAAATAAAAATACCTAACCAAATCCACTAGCAGACCAAATCGAGCAACGTATAAAAAAGATTATATACCAGAATTGCACAGGACTGACCCAGAAATATAAAGTTGGTTTAAAATCTGAAAATCAATTAATATAATACATCATATATCAATAAAGACAAAACCCACATGATCATGTTAACAGACATGCAAAAAGCACTTGATAATATCCAACACCCCTTCATGATAAAACCACTCAAAAACTAGGACTCAAAGAAAATGTCTTCCACCTGATGAAAGACTGAATGCTTTCCCCCTAAGATCAGGAACAAGACAAGGAAGTCCACTCTTGCCACTTCTATTCTATTCTACTCACCAATTATTCTCATCACTTCTATTCCATTACATTGTACTGTTCTAGCCAGAGCAATTAGGCAAGAAAATAAAATAAAAGCATCCAGATTAGAAAGAAAGATGTAAGACTATCTGTAGATGACATGATACACAAACTCTTGAGGAATTCATTGAAAAAGCCATTAGTATTGGGGCACCTGGCCAGCTCAGTCAGTAAAGCATATGACTCTTTATCTCAAGGTCGTTTGTTCAAGCCCCATATTGGGTGTAAAGCTCACTTTGAAAAAGAAAAAGAAAAAAAAAAAGCCACTAGTACAGCCATTTTATAAGACTGTCAATTTCTGGGTGCCTGGGTGGCTCAGTTGGTTAAGCGACTGCCTTCGGCTCAGGTCATGATCCTGGAGTCCCAGGATCGAGTCCTGCATCGGGCTCCCTGCTCAGCAGGGAGTCTGCTTCTCCCGCTGACCTTCCTCCCTCTCATGCTCTCTACCATTCTCTCTCTCAATAAATAAATAAAAATCTTAAAAAAAAAAGACTGTCAATTTCTTACAAAACTAAACATACTCTAAGCATATGATCCAGCAATTATGCTCCTTGGTATTTACCCAAATAAGTTGATAACTTATGTCCACACAAAAACCTGCACACAGATGTGTATGGCAGCTTTATTCATAACTGCCAAAGCCTGGAAGCCAGCAAGATGTCCTTTAGTAGGTGAATGGATAAATAACCCGTGGTACATTCATACAGTGAAATATTAGCACTAAAAAGACATAAGCTATTAAGCCATGAAAAGACATGTAGTAGCCTTAAATGATTATTACTAAGAGAAAGAAGTCAATCTGAAAAAGCTATATACTGTATGATTCCAACTATATTACATTCTGGAAAAGGCAAAACCATGGAGAGAGTAAAAAGATCAGTGGTTGCCAGGGTTTGAGAAGGAATGAATAGGTGAAGTATAGAAAATTTTTAGGGTGGGCGCCTGGGTGGCTCAGTTGGTTAAGTGACTGCCTTTGGCTCAGGTCATGATCCTGGAGTCCCGGGATCGAGTCCCGCATCGGGCTCCCTGCTCAGCAGGGAGTCTGCTTCTCCCTCTGACCCTCTTCCTTCTCGTGCTCTCTATCTCTCATTCTCTCTCTCTCTCAAATAAATAAATAAAATCTTAAAAAAAAAGATTTTTAGGGTAATGATACTATAATGATTGGTGGATACATGTCATTATGCCTCTACCAAAACCCATAGAATGTACCAAACCAAAACTGAACCCTAATTTAAACTGTGGACTTTGGGTAATAATGACATATCAATGTAGATCCATAGGCTATAACAAATGTACCCATCTGGTATGTGATGCTGATAGTAGTGAGGCTAAGATGTGGGTAGAGGGTTATGGGAACTCTCAGTACTTTCAACTTAACCCTAAATTACTTTAAAAAATAAAATATATTAAAAATGTTTAAAAAATGATTCTTGGAACAACATGGATGAACCTTCAAAACAGTATGCCAGGTGAAAAAAAGCCAGACACAAGAGACCACATATCTTATGATTACAATTATATGAAATGTCCAGAATGGCAAATCAGTAGACAGAAAGTAGATTAGTGGTTTCCAGGGGCTGAAGGGGGCGGGGGAGAACAGGGTCGTGATGACTAAAGGGCTTCTTTCCGGGGTGATGAAAACATTCTGGAATTAGATTGTAGTGATGGTTGTACAACTCTCTGAATATACTAAAAATCACTGAATTGTTTACTTTAAAGGGAGGAAGTTTATGGTGTGTTAATTATATCTCAATAAAGCTGTTTTTAAAAAAAAACCCAACTATGTTGTAGTCTTAGACAAGGAAAGAGGGTTGCGTAAATTATTTAAAAAAACAAAGCAAAAAACCCCAAGGCTTCCAGGAGGCATTCTAGAACAGTCCCTCCCTAAGTCTCAGCCCCAGCCACTTTACCCCCTCTGTCCCCCAACCCCTCTAGGCCTTTTGCACGTCTGGGTGGTTTCCGTGGCTGCAGCTGTCGCCCAAGAACTGGTTTAGATACATTGTGAAAAATGAATGAGTGAGCAGCAAAAATGGGCAGAGCGAGCGCCCCCAAGTGACCT